TTTCTATCCAATCAAGTCTTTGATTCAATGAACCTCGCTATTAGTCCATTTATTGCATCAATTCCTTCTCTTTTTTATTCAATGAACCTCGCTATTAGTCCTTTATCGCATCAATTCTTTGATTCAACTCAACTCACTATTAGTCCTTTATCAAATCAATTCCTTCTCTTTTTTATTCAACTCAACTCGCTATTAGTCCTTTATCAAATCAAATTAAATCTTATTCAGCTTAACTCGCTTTTAGTCTTTTATCAAATCAATTCCTTTTTATTGAACTCGACTTGCTATTATTCTTTTATCAAATCATTTCCTTTTTATTGAACTCGACTCGCTTTTAGTCCTTATCAAATCTTTTTCTTTTTTATTCAACTCGAATTGCTTTTAGATCTTTATCCAATCAAATCGAATCTTTTTCTTTTTTATTCAACTTGACTTGCTTTTACATCTTTATTCAATCAAATCGAATCTTTTTCTTTTTCATTCAACTTGACTCGCTTTTACATCTTTATTCAATCAAATCTTTTTATTGAACTCGACTCTGTATGGTGAGTGCTGTTTTCTTTGTCTTTGTCATTATTCATTATTCCTATTACTCATGGCTGATTCTCCTGGATTGTTACAGGTGTAGCTCTTATTGATGGATACCACCAAGAAGCCATCAAGACCTCGTGCTAAACCGGCTGTTCAAAAAGCCAAAGCTGCCACCGAGTCTGCTACCCAACCTACCATCCAACCCACTACCCAACCTACTACCCAGCCTACCATCCAGTCTGCTACCCAACCTATCATCCAACCTACAATCGAGTCTGCTACCCAGCCTACCACCCAGTCCGTCACCCAGCCCGAAGCTGACAAGATCATTCCCAACGTAACTTGGGACGACAATGACGATCGAATCATGATTGATGTTCTCACTTTTGAACGCCAGCCAGCCGACGGAAAACCTATTGGACCTGAGAACGCTACGACCACTCATGGCTTCAAAATTCCGACTTAGGAAGCCTGTGTCACCGCACTTGCAGGGAGTGAAAGGAAAGTTATCAATGGTCTTGTTTACCTAAGTCACACTAAAGAGGTAGGAAACTGCAAGTCCAGGTGGTATGTTGTAAGTTTTTCATAATAATTTCATTTCCTCATTTCTTCAGTTTCTACACTTTCAATTCTATTCCACCACTCTATCCCTCAAGCTGGGAAATTGGGGCGCACTGACAGGTTCAGGCTGCCACCTTCCCAGCTCCTCACGGTTAACCTGATGGTTTTGGGATGGGGATTGACAGGATTCAAGTCCATCCCACCGTGTCTACTCTCAAATGAGTCTTTCTTTGTTTCTTTCTTTTTATATGAACTCTTCAATTACTTGTTAGTTACCATACTCTCAAACTAATATGTTTTTTTTATATGAATTCCTCAATCACTTGTTAGTTACGAGGCCTCTATGCCAACTATAAACATCTTGACGGGCTTAGTGGAGCCGGGTGGGAAGATGGATGTATCACACTTCCTGAGGGGGTCTGGGCACCCATCCTAGCCAAAAGTAAGAATGTAAGTAAATTTCATTATTATTGTCATCATTTTGCTTTCCTCAAACTGATTTTCGCCTTTTTCTCAGGGAACCAAGAAAGCGAAAGACTATGCTCGATGCAAAGGCCGACCTTTTCCTTTATTCACCGAACTTGCCCCATTGCTGGAGGGCCATAAAGCGACTGTGAAGTACACCAAAACCTCGATCAAGAAGCCTGACGATCCAACTCCAGAAGCCTCCACTTCAACTAGCACCCGTGTCCCAGCCACTACCCATACACTTTCACCAACCTCTTCCACATCCGACTTGCCCAATATTGAAGATCCTGCCCATCCTAAGTCTGAAGAGGATCCTAGCTCAGATGAAGGACCAGCCGGAAATCAACATGGTAAGTCCGCGGTGGCACTGAAGGAGCGTAACCCGGTTCGCAAGAAGAAACGCAGCGGTGTCGAGATTGTAGATGGGCTTTCGACCGAACTACACAACATTGGATCCCTCTTCAAGTCATCACTCTCTTCATCTTCAACTGAATTACACGACATGAGCACCCTTTTGAGATCGACAATCCCTTCAACCTCCACTTCTGTTGTACATTCTACTCCTGAGG